GTCGCAAGTTTTGAGACATCTGTTTTTATATAGACCATCCAGCATCATGAAGTGCTTTAATGTGCACTCGGCGCTCGATGTTTTACCATTTTGAACAGGAATGACAAATTTTAAACTGAATTCACCTTTTTATACCCAAATTTGAGCCACTGGGCTTCTCTGAGAAGTCAGAAATTAATCAAGCATCACATTCAACCACTGAAACTAATTTTTCTGTTCAGGAATGTAAGTAAATAACTATAATTTGACATCTTAATCAAGAAATAATAATGTGTTTTACTATTTTTTACGTTTTTTGTGGAACAGTAAATTTAAAAAATTCATGGATGACAATAATAATTAAAGCCACAAGTGGCATTGGACAGGTCCTCGCTTCTTGTGGCAGTGCGACTGAGACAGTGCATCTGTATGTGATTTGGCTCATACTGCGATGAAACGTGTGAATTTTGAGCATTTACAGGCTATTTACACTTCACTTCCTGTTTCATGGCGAATGCTACGCCCCAAGTGGCATTGTGAGTGTATGCCCACCACTTCCTGTTTAATGGCGAGCCGGGGCAGTGTGCGTGGAGTGGCGTGCTGGTAGTGCGCTCTGGCTGGGACCTGGAGCACACGTGTACAGTTTCAGGAAGATCGGAGCGTTACACAGCATGCAACATTTTATGGTGTTTTATGATCCATCCATTATCTATACACTGCTTAATCCGCACGAGGGTCGCAGGGGCGCTGGAGCCTATCCCAGCCGACTTAGGGTGAAGGCAGGGGACACCCTGGACAGGTCGCCAGTCTATCACAGGGCTACACTTAGAGACAGACAACCAAGCACACTCACATTCACACCTACGGACAATTTAGAATCACCAATTAACCTCAACATGTTTTTGGACTTGTGGGAGGAAGCCAGAGAACCCAGAGAGAATCCACGCTGCACGGGGAGAACATGCAAACTCCACGCAGAAAGATTCCAGTGCCCCCACCGGGAAGCGAACCGGCGACCTTCTTGCTGCAAGGCAACAGTGCTACCAACTGTGCCACCCTGCAGCCCGTGTTTTATGATGTTTTGGTGAAATTCTAGATTTTGAAAATGGCTGATTTTCGGTCAAAATCCGCCATTTGTTTCAAAATGGTCTACTTCCTGTTGAGTTTCACATGTGTGTTCTTGAGACTTTTTTGTGTTTCTCGGCATGTTACAGATGTGTGCCAAATTTCGTGGCTCTACGTGAAAGTGTGTCCGGGGCCCTTTTTTCGTAATTTTGTAGGTGGCGCTGTGGAGCCATTTTTCCATTGAGGTGTGTACTTCCCCCTAACTGAAAAATTTTCCGCTGGGTCTGATGTGTGCGAAGTTTTGTGCATGTGCAATGCTCGGACCCTAATTATATTTCAGCATTAAAAAAATCATTTGTGTTAAAGAGCTTCTACATGCTGGTGTATTAACCATTACAGAAACATAAAAAATGATTTTGATAATTACCAATTTTGTTAATTTAGGGCAGTGCTGGCATAAACCTGACGTTGGGTGTGGTCTAATAAATTTGTGAAGCACTGTATGTCATATAGTTATTCTACTTTCAGCTCTATTTTAGCCTCTATCAACTCCTCAGCATCAGTGGCTTTTAAATAGCAAGTTGCAAATGTATGTCTAACGTTTGGTGCTAGGCAGGTACTGTGCCAGTGGGTTTATCAGAGTTTCTTTTGCTAAAAACAGCTGCCTCCTGTAGCTGGAAATGATGCAAATGAGAGCTGTGGGACTGAACGAAAACACAAAAGTTGTGTGCTATAAAAAGAGCTAAAAGATTCTGAACTGCTCCACAGAGATTTGAGAGAACTGCTGAGTCATGTACAATGTCTTTGTAGTTTATTCACTGAGAGTGTTACCTGTCACACTACACACAGTGATTTGACCCTATTCTTGAAGACACATGGTGTTTGCACGCTGTCTGAAATATATATATTCCAAAACCTTTCAAAAGCTGCAAAATTCTAGACTTCTTGTGAGTCAGTTTATTCATATTTACCCAATATTCAGACTGACACATCTGACATCTTTGAAAACTTTGAAATGTATCTCAAAAGCTTAACGGCAAGAGTCTGAAATAGCAAGTAAATGGGGCTTATGAGACTGAAATATGAATTCACCAGAGCGAGTGAAAATGTAAAAATGACCCACTGATTTGTGTTCTCTGGTCTTATTTTGATATGACACAACATAACTGCTGCACATTATAGCTGTAATATTAAGATGCTGGAGTCATTTCCACCCTTTCAGACTCAACGTGGCTCAATGGGCAGCGATCAAAACTCCACCTTGTACTTACATCAATGAAGGCAATCTGTGCTCCTGATTCGGTGTGTTTTGTGCAGGCATTTGTGTGTATCTTGTTGTGTTTAATCAGTGAAAGTTAGCTGAACACACGCCCTTATCCTGTGCAGTCAGTCCTTTGCTGTATCTTCAGGGGCTGAAACTACACAATGGTGTCTAGTGGGCCAAAGTGCTTTGTTCGACAAAGAAAAAATACTTACTCAATTCCCCTGCTGACATTAAAACTGGCAATTAACGGAAGCATGTGTGTGTGTTAAGGCCTCACCTCGTTGCCGTGCACCATGAGGTGCTGTGTAGTGATCAGGGCTTTGAAAACCACCACCCAGCTGGCGTTGCCGGCCCTCTCCATCAGCGTGTCGGCCATCTGGGGGACGTTCACATTGGTTTCCTGGGTGGCCTGGATCAGGTCTGAAAAGCACAGAGAGAAGGAACAGGAGGTCAGGTGATGGATATTAGCAAGGGAGAGATGCAGCACAGATACAGAGTGTGCTGAAATCATTTTATCCAAGTGAGGACATCGCAAACAGTTGCAGGGCTGGTGGAAGAAGACAGACAGCGAGAAATGACAAAATAGAAATGTGCTACAATAAACGCAGCTGGGATTTGCAACATTTCACAGTCACACTCTCGATTCCTAATTTTCACTTTAACTGACAGTATGTTTTCCCCTGAGCAATGTAAAATACAAAACCCTTGCGAAAGGAATAACAGGTTTTTCACTTGTGTTCAGAGTTAAACAATTTATTTTTAAAATGTTTCTACAGTGGCCGAACATTGTCACGTGAATAAATGAAATCTTTTAGCAACAAGCCACGCGATCGTCCTTCTGGAGCCATTTTAGTTAACTATTCGATAGGTTTTGTAGTCTAGCGTCTGATTGAAGCGCTAACTCTCGTTTTGTCAATCAAATATCCATTTAGTAAGCAGCAGACTTATCTGTGCGAGCCAGAGGAGCCAGTTAGTGCTAAAAAAACAGGCTCAGGAAGCCGCTGCCTTCCATCATATTGAAATGCATTTAGACGATTGCTTCGCATTATGCCACGATCGCCTGGTGTGAGTCACGCTGGCTGCTGCTTTGTTTCGTTTCTGCAGTCACTTGCTAATACCAGCACAAGCAGGCAGAGAGGCTGAGTGGAATATTCCACAGCAGAGAGACCCAGAAAGAGAAAAAAAAAAAGGAAGACAAGATTGCAATGAAAATCAGATGTGCACACGAGGAGCTAAAAGAACGCATCAACCCTTGGAAATACTTGGTAAATAATATTGAACTAACCAATGAAGATGATCGACTCCAGTAATCCATGCTGATTCTTTTCTTTGGAGATAATGGCAATATTGGTATTCCATTTATTTCAGGCTGTCATATTGGGAGTGCATCGTTTCACCATATTTCAAAAAGATTAAGCACACTGGTGTCCTTACAATTAATTTTATGGAGGAAAACTTTCCAAAATGTCTGTCAGGGCTTTGTATTTAAAGCAGAACCAATCAATATTTCTATTTTAACAATGGATCAGATGACGATGTGCGATGTGAGTGAGTTCATGCAAAATGACAAACACAACTTTCCCTGGATTCTCCAGTTCCTCTCGCTCCATCACACTGACTACACTAAAATCACAGTTTGAACTCACATTAGGTAGTTTCTGCTGCTACTGGTGTCTCTTACAATATACATAATATAACTGGCTCCCAAGCAGGCTATGGTTGAAATAACAGATTAACACACATTAAAATACCTCCTATTGACCAATGAGGTCACTTGAAAATGCATTCAGAAGATCCCATGAAGCTTTGTGTGTGGCTAGTGAGGGCTCTCTGAGGAGGTCAGGAGGTTTTAGAGTACATCTAAACCTTTTTCTGTTTCTAATGAGCATCGATATAAGAATTATACTTTGTCAGTGGATGGAACTCCAGTCTTTCTTCATTTTTTTTTTTTCCTGTTAACTGCAAGCAATTTCAAGGTCATTTTGTTTTTCTATAGGTCACTGAATATTTAGTATTATCCTGAAACAGAGACTGATTAAACCACGAAGGCTGTGTACTTGTTGATCTTATAAGATTAGTGGTAAGCCTACTTACCAGATTGAACAATGTTTTAATTACTGTTCTTTACTCGATCTCAAGACTGTTTAACACCACCAGAGTAGCAGCTGAAAGAATGAGGCTAAAATTGTCATAAGAAACCTACATCTGAGCATTTAATGCAATATATAATTGTAATTGTAGTCAGACCTACTTGTGCCACAATAATGGGGCCGTGATACTGATGAGCCTGTCAGTGTAACACTTAGCTGGTAGTTTTTTTTGCCAGCTTTACTTCTTTTTTTAAATCCCTCATTGGTCTAGAACTATAGTTTGCTCTTGTGAGAAATCCAAAGCTCTAGACATGTCCATGATTGCAACGAGTCATCTGGTGCCACCAACAACACTGCTAATTTCATGTAAATGCACTCAGCGCTGGATTAGCAACTCTTAAATGCTTAACATGACTGTGTTTGTTAGGCTTAGTGGATAATAATAATAACATATG